AAGACAGAGATTGACAAATTGAGGGGGTGGGGGAAGCAATGACCCAACCATATGTTGTCTACAAGAGATTTTTTAGGATCAAGTACAGATTTAGATTGAGAATAAAAAGATGGGCAAAGGTATTCCATGCAAACCTTAACCAAAAGAGAACTGGAGTGGCTGAACTATTTTCAGAAGAAAAGAACCTTTAAGACAAAGATATTGATATTATATAATAGGTCTTTAATAAATATTGATTACATAAATGAATTTATATATGAACTCTAAATCTCTTCAATCATTCCTATAGAATGGATAGTTAAAGCCATAATTTTAAATAAGACCTATGGAGAGTATGAAAGGGAAAGACAGCAACAACTGAATCATGGAAAATACCGAGATGGTTCATAATTATAAAGAAAGAGTAAGAATTAAGGAAATACAAGAATGTAATAGAGGGCTAAGAAGAGCAGACTTTCAAGAATGCAGGACACACATATTGTGTTAATATACAGTACATATGTAATCTGTGTTTAATACATACATGTTACATACACACATTACAGCAGTCCCCCTTTACCTGCAGAGATTGTTTCAAGATCCCTAGTGGATGCCTGAAATCATGAAGAGAATAAAACCCTATATGCACTATGTTTTATCCTGCACATACATGCCTATGTTAAAGTTTGATTTATATATTAAGCTTAGCAAAAGATTAACAATAAGAACTAATAATAAAATAGAACCATTATAGAATGTTCTGCAATAAAATAGCACCACTATTCTCACCCTTTGGTGATATTATTAAGTAAATGAAGGATACTGTGATACTGTGACAGTCCATCTGATAATCAAGATGGCTAGTAAGTGACTAACAGACAGGTGGCATAACAGCATGAATGGTGGATAAAGGATGATTCACATCTGGGCAGGAGGGAGCAACACAGTAGGAGCTCATCGGGATACTCAGAACAGCACACAATTTAAAACTTGTGAATGGTTTCTCAAAGTTTTCATTTAATGTTTTTGGATTATATTAACCATAGGTAAATAAAATCAAGGAAAAAACTACTTCTGTTACCAAAGTGATCAAAACTACAGACATATTACTCCTTGAGCGTGCCACAGAGAAGCTTCAACTGGAGGGTTTTGTCTTTTAATTTTTCAGTCTGCTGAAAGGAAACATTTAAATCCCCTCAACATAATAAATAGTGTATATATAGCCTCAATAACCTGTAGATACTAGAATTGTCCAGAGAATCATTCTTAATCAGAGACATTCCTACTTCTCAGTGTTTGTAAATCTCTCTTCTAAGTAAGAACTCTATTGCTTTGTCCTGTCTGTGTTTTCTTGATGTATACCAAGTCTTTTTCTTCTGAAAAATAGCTTGAGTGTCTTCTACATAGTGCAATAAAACTTCTAGTTAGGAAAGAAACGAATGATGTAAAGTGAATGTGAAGTTAGAGAAGGATTTTAGCTATTTTAAGAAATGCTTTCTCCAAAAGAAGCATCAATATCTGTCTTAAATTAAGGAGATAGGAGAAAGGAAAGGGAGAGATGAAACATAAATTGACTAACATTTCATCAGTTTGTTTCCTGGGGCTGTAATGTAATGGTACCAAGATATCCTTATTAGCCCAAGCTTCTTTGGATTTTTCTTTCTTTTTGCAAGGCTTGCTAACTTTAACACATTATCCAATTTGTTCGGTTAGACACATACCATTGTGGTGTATAAACTGTTTCCTACTCCAATTTCTGCAAAATAAGTCAGTGCTCAGACCACATTTACCAAGAATGAGAAAATTTTGCACTTAAGATGGAATTATTCTCAGTTGCTAAGTGGATACCAATGGTTTGAGCTGGTATGTTTGGGTTTTGGGTGGCCAATATCCATCCCCTCTGATTTGTGTAGGATCACCTTGATTACAGGAAGTAAACTATCTCTACTTCCTGTCTCTCAGTTCACGAGGGTCCAGGTGGCTGACTCCAGAGGTAGGTAACTGAGCCAAGCCTGGTCAGTCAAATGTACTGGCACTGGAATCTAACTGTTGAGTGGAACAGCTGCTCAAAGTTGGGATCGCTTAATTTTCCCTACAGTTGGCTACTCAGGAAAATAAATCTCTTATATCTGGTTTCCTTGAGCTCCAGAGCCTTCCAGCTCTCTGACCTTCCCTTAGATTTGCATTGTAAGCAGATTGATTCTGATCATTATGCAAATCACTGCCAATAAATTCAAGTTTGTCTCTTAAATTATTTTGAATACGTTCTTTACAAAGAAAAAATTGAAATTTATATGACAAAACATCTTAAAAGTATAAAAAAACCCCAACACACTAGCTCTTTAGCACTTTCCAACCTGAGTTCCACCACCAAAGTGTACTGTAAGGCAGTGGGACCAAATATTAGCAAACCTCTCAGAATTTTTAACTTTTAAACAACATCCCATACTAAGGATGCTTTTCTGGAAACAGATGTCTAATTAATACTTTATTCTTTTTCATACTTTCAAGGATGATCTACTTTTACAACTGTTCTCTCATTCATTTTGCTTCTTATTTTCAACAGAAGGGCAGCATGATGATTCATATCGAAATATTTTTCTTTTTAGGGTAAAACATCACCTATCGTAAGAAAATATTTTTATTATTATATTTTTAAAACTTAACATTTTAGAACTTCTTTAATACTTATCTGTATACTCATTGATGGCAAGCAATTGGTCTTGCCCAGGACTAACCAATAGACATATAATGAGAATCACAGAGAAATTTTAAATTTCCCAGTGGTCACATGTTTTGGAAGTAAAAAGAGATAGGTACAATGAATATAGATGATAATTTTTTTTCATCCCAGTATATCTACAATAATATTTCAACATGTAATCAAAATGAAATTATTGAGATATTTACAATTTTTATATATTAAGTCCTTAAAATCAGCGTGTGTTTTAACACTTAGAGAACTTCTCAAATCAGATGCAAATTTCTGTTAGAAATATTTGGTTCATATATAGATCTTATAAATTTTAGAGTTGAAAAAGTAGATTCAAATACCCAAGTTCCTCAAACATAAAGTTTCTGATAAATGACTTCAGTATCAATTTTTTAATTAACTAAAATTGCATGCAATTGAAATTCAGTTCCTCTATTGCACTATCCACATTTCAAGTGCATGTTTCATGTGGCTAATCTATACTTTCTTTTTTTGTTTTACTTTGTTTTGGATACTGGGACTTGCACCTGGCAACACTTTACCACTGAACTATACCCCAAGCCCTTTTTATTTTTTTTATTTTGAGACAGAATCTCACTAAGTTGCTTAGGGCCTCACTAGGTTTTTGAGGCTGGCCTTGAATTTGAGATGTCCCTGCTTCAGCCTCCTGAGTTGCTGGGATTAGTCATGAACACCTGGCTACAAATACTCCAGACCTCACAAATCCAGCTGAACTCTCTAGGCACATGTGTTCAACGATGGTGAGGAGAGGTGCTCAAACATTCATCAGAGGTATTAGCACACACTCAAGGTATTAGCAGTTCAAACACTCTTCAATCACTTTTTATTATTGAAAGATACAAGAATTTCTACTTGTATCTTCAGGTATTGCTACGGTTTGAAATTTGTCCCTTAAAGTTTGTGTTGGAAACTTTATCCCTACTTGTACTAATAGCATGTGGAAGTGAGACCTTTGAGAGATAGGCAGGATTATATGTAGGGACTATACATTCATAACCAGATTAATGGTCGATACATTTATCTGAACACATATGTAACAATTGATCTATGTGTATTTTTTTCCATTTTTCTTTTGGTCATTATGATGATTTCCCCTTCATTCTTAAAAGTTTGAAGATATTTATTTATTATAGTTGTTTCAGTGACCACGTGAAGTATATTTATAAAAGCTGTTTTAACATTCTCTCCTTCTACGATAGTCCCCATGGTGGCGTTAGTGGCTTTATAAGAAGAGAGGCCTGAGCTAGTTGCCTGCTGTCTGGCCATGTGATGTCCCCAGCCATGCAATGATGCAGCAAGAAGGCCCTCACGAGATGAGGAGATTCCGCTATCATGCTGTGGACTTCCCAGCCTCCAGAGCCATTACTCAGATGAACTTTTTCATAAATTACCCAGTCTCAGATTTTCTTGTTTTAGTAGCAGGAAACAGATTGAGACTGGCATGTTAATCCTCATTAAACTGTATCTTTAGGGCTGGGGTTGTAGTTCAGTGGTAGAACACTAGCCTAGCATGCGTGAGGCACTGGTTTGATTCTCAGCACCACATATAAGTGAATAAATAAAAAAGAAAGGTCCATCAACAATTAAATATATATATATATATATATATATATATATATATATATTTAAAAACTGTAGCTTTATAGATTTCATCAAATTCAGAAATTTTAAGGGTCCTTCTTTCTTCAAAGGTTTTTTATTTTTTCTTTTTCTGTCCTGTATCCTCCTCTAACTGCCCCCTTAAACTACCCACCACTCTAAAACCACCATTCCAGGATTCTAGTTACTACATGATCATCAGCTTAATATGGTCCCATAGCTCACTTTTGGTTTGTTCTTTTCTTTTTCTCTGTTTTTTTTTTTTACTTATTTATTTAGTGTAGTTTCTGTTTCTGTCTTCACGTACACATTTTTTCTTCTTCAGTGTTTAATCTGCTATTAATACCATCCATCATATTCTATATTTTTCTTTTCAGATCATGCACTTTTTCTTTCTCCGCCCCCTGCTCCCACAATAGATAGAAAAAAAAATAGGCATAGATCAAGCTATTTCTATTTTTCCTTTGGTTGTTATGAGGATTTCCTCTCCTTTCTTAAAATCATGGAGTACATTTCTTAGTTGGTTTAGTGAAGATAGGGAGTATATTTATAAGAGCTGCTTTCACGTTCTCCCCTTCTATCATCTGTGTCATTTCTGGATCTGTTCCTACAGTTTGATTTTTCTCTTTGTTATAGATTGCACATCCCTGCTGGGGCCTGTCATAACAAAATATCATAGCCTAGGAGCTGAAAAACTGCATAAATTTATTTCTCACAGTTCTAGAGGCAAAGAAGTCCAAGTCAAGGCACCAGTAGATAGGGTATCCGAAGAGAGTTCACTCTGGTTCATGGTTGGCACTTTTCACTGTGTCCTCAGTTGACTGAAGAAGTTATAAACAAGCTCCTTGGGCCCATTTTATAAGGGCACTAATCCCATCCTGAGAGTTCTGCCCTCATGAATTCATCACCTCCCCAAGACCCTGCCTCCTACTACCCTCACCTGAGGGTTAGAACTGCAATGCATGTATTCTGGGGAGATGCAAACATTCAGGCCATCGCTGCTGCCTGCCTGCTAGGGCACGCTTACCCTCTTGTGTGTGCACTCACTCTCTCACTCTCTCCCCTCTCTCCATAGCGACTTCCTTTCTAGAATGTTTCTCCACAAATTTCCTAAGCTCAGCAGGACTACCAGGTTGTTTGGGTTCCCTTTCCCCATAGAGGAATGAGCCAGGGCCATGGAAGTGCTTATGTGATTGGTTTCCTTTCTGTGGGAATCTCTATCCAGTGCTATCTGTTGTCCAATGTCTGAAAACTGTTGTTGCATGTACTCTATGTCAGTTTTCTAGTATTTGAGGAGAAAAGACAAATCTAGTTTATGTTATTCTATCATGGTCTAAAGGATATAAAAATTTAATTGCCACTCATTTAATAAATGTTGATTCAGTGCCTACTGTATATTAGAAACTGTGCAAAGATCTGGAGATTGACTGTTGAACTAAAAAAATATGCAGTCCCTGCCCTCGTGGTTACTACAGCCCATCAGGGAAAAAAATAACTAAAAATTACTCAAGTAAATATGTATGAGAGGGAGCAGAGTGCTATAAAAGTATATAATGGGAACACCTGATTTAGTTTGGGAAATCAAGAAACAAAGGACATTTTAACTAAGAGTTAAGGAATAAGGGAGATTTAATGTCAATATTCTACAGAGTAGGAATATTACCGAAGAGAGCAGCATATGCAAAAGGCCTGTTGCAGAATGAAAACCATTAGGGATCATCCAGCCCAGCCCTTAGATTTCCCAATGAAGAAACAAGGGCTCAGAGAATTTATGACATTTGCCAGTTGCAGAAGAGGGTCTAAAATCTAGGAGTCCTACCTTCACATCTAATGTTCTTCCCATTCCACAATATTGCTAAATAAATGTAGAGAATACCAGAACACATTATGTAATGATTTTTTCATTTTATGGTTTATGGCATTTTATGAGTAATACATAATCTTATAATTTATCTTCATTTAAAAACAATTATGGCCAAAATTTTATTCAGGACATACTTTGAATTGTCAATATTTTTATATAGTTACAAAGTGTATCCCGGAACTTGTAAAAAAAAAAAAAAGTGCAAGAGAGCACAAAACAGAAAAGAATGAACACTCACATTTAACACAGAGAAGCCACAACAGCATCATAATGGCCTGGGAGTGTTAACGCAGCTCCCTAAGTGGCTAAATTACACCCCAGAGATTCTCACTCAGCAGTGTAAGCCTTTAGTGCTTTCAGACATTTTGGGAAATGCATCCATTGCCCCATTCCAAGCTTAATTGGCATAATAAATGTCAATTAAAGCTCCTTTAAGATTTTAAACTGCAAGACTCAAGTGAAACTATGTATGTATAGACTCTTACGGAGACTTCCCCACCAGAAGTCTTTCCTAAAAGAGACTCCACATATTTAGGTTTACCATGGGCGACATGGATAGACAACACACAACCTTGCATTCACATAGGAAAAGACGTTTCCCCAGCTATCCTAAACGTGTCCTTCATAAATGGCTTGCAAACTATTACATATCATACATGTCAGTAGAATTCAGCTTTCAACAAATAGAGAGAGAACATCAACTCAAGGACGGTAAATACAGGAGTCAACAGAGGAGAGAGATGTGTGTCCCCCACCATCAACATGGAGGGATCCTTTCAGAAGCTACCAGGAGGTCCTTCTTCCTCCTTCATTCGGTGTCTACACACAACTCCTTTCCTAACTTTTACTTATGAGGCTTAAAAGACAATTATTCATTCATCCAGTGTAAATATAAAGCAGGGTCTTTGTTAACTTCTGAACTTGGCAAAAATATTTTTTATGTCTCATACATAGTTCATCGATTTCGATTTCAGGAAATTCCACTTTATATTAAGTAGCCCAAGCTGCCAATTGCTTGATTCCATCGTCTTCGTCTTCTACCCTCCTGGAAGAGGCTGGAACATAAAAATGATTTTAAAAAAATTAGTCATTGACATCACTCCCACTTTCAGCCTACAAAAAGGTATGAATTACACGTAAAATGTGTTTATTTATGAAATCAAATGTAAATGAGTACTAAAAGAAGGGACGTGGCTATTATTTTTAGGAAACTGTAAGAACACAGGTAGTGGAGATGGGTACAGACCTGCTCGAGATCGGTGTGCAAAGGAGGATGCCGCTGGCCTTCTCTCTGGCTGTGCTGGGAGAGAAGAGGAAGGCACATTTGGAAGCCGAATATTTGTCATCTTCTTGTTTAATTCCTCCTGCTCCAGTTCTTCAAGTTCTGCCATCAACTCATCCTGAACGTAGGAGAAAGGAAGAATTACAGAGTTAACGTTTCAAGAAGTGGGTTTCCTTAAACACAATAACAAGAACATCTGCTACCCAATTGATATGTGAGAACCCAGTGAAATGGAATATTTATTTTAAAACTAAGTCTTTTTTGCAACACTGAGCAATGATTAAAAAATGAATATTTTGGGTTGTGCAAATTTGTTGTAGTTAATCTTATAATACTTCAGTAAACAGCCATTCAAGTAATTTGTGCTAGCTGAACATATAATCTCAGTTTCTGGGAAATTTACACCTTGCCTGTCATTTTTTCAATATGCTCTCTTCTTTTCTCCTGTTGAGAAGCTATGAAACTTTAATTGGAAGAAATAAATATTTTTATTTGGGCTAATGCTATTGAAAATAGAACAGTAAGCATAGCAAAAACCATAATGCAATAAAAATAAAAAGAATCAGAGATACTGTGGTACCTTTATCAAATCATCAAAGTTAACATAAATCATGTGTGTGCTTGGGTTAATAAAACTTCAGTTCAAAGACAGGTATAATGTATTTCTTTAACAATAGTCCAGAAGAGTCTGGTTTAATCTTAAACTATTCCCCGAACAAAAGCTGTAGAGAGGCAACATTAGTTTGAGATCTTAAGGATGTACGTCACCTTGTACCAGGTCTGAGATAACCTGAAGTATTTCACATCTATTGCCTCCATAAGTCTCAGATAGAGATCAGCTCCCCTCAGGAAAAAGTCAAGAGTCAAAATTAAATTTACCATCATTGAATTTTTTAGGTTATCACAATTAGAAATGACCTGGGACACCCTTAGAGTCAACCAGGTAGATTCTTCATTCATTCATTCACTCTTGATTCCACAAATTTAGGACAGAGTTTGAAATCAGTACTAGAGATGCAAAATTGAATCCACACTCCCCACATTCAAGGAGTGCATGCTTAAATTTGGGAGAAAGCCATGTAAACAAATATATTAAAGTAAGGTTAATAACACCATGGAGCAAGAGAGGAGATACTTAAGCCAAGTCCTCATTGATCAAATTCATGAGTATCAGATTTGCAGAAAGTTGACCTCTATTAAACTGACTGCACATTAAAAAAATAAAATAAGAAGGTGTATACCATCAGGTCATGTGAAACAGCATAATGAGTGTGGCTAAGTGCTTTACACTTCTCCTCAGTTTATATAAATAAAATGATAATAGAATGAATAGTCTGATGCCTAGTTCTGCTCAAAAAACAAACATAGTAACTGTGGTAATGGCAGAATGAGCTGCTTTATGTTGACTGCATGCCCAGAATGCCATGGGTACTTGACAATTACCAACAGCACCAGAAAGACATTGATGTTTTCTTCAGTAAATATGATGGACACAGTAGCTATCTCCTCCATCATTTTTAGCCTTTCAGTTCCAAACTCTTATTTGATCATTTTAGAAAAGAATTTTAGAATTTAATAAGCTTTGGAGATAATCCAGTGATCCAAGAGTTTCCATTCTATCTATGAGAAAACTACAGGTGAGAAAAGTAAAGGGACTTAAGATGTCCTCATAAGCCCAAGGCCCTTTCCACCATGCCACAATGCATGCATTAGATGCTTGTTAGTCTACACCAGGGTTGGCAAATATTTCCTATAAAGGGTCAGATAGCAATGTTTTAGGTGTTGCAGGTCACATATCTTTCCATCACATAGTCTTCTTTGTAGTTGTTTTCTACAATACTACAAAACTGAAAAACCTTCTTGGCTCTAGGCCAGACAAAAACAAGCAAAGGGAATGATTTGGTCTTCAAGCCATATTTTGCCAACCTCTTGTCTATGCCATTTTTTTTTTAGTACCTCACTTTTTTTTTATTGGTTGTTCAAAACATTACAAAGCTCTTGACATATCATATTTCATACATTTGATTCAAGTGGGTTATGAACTCCCATTTTTACCCCGTATATAGATTGCAGAATCACATCGGTTACACATCCACGTTTTCACATATTGCCATACTAGTGTCTGTTGTATTCTGCTGCCTTTCCTATCCTCTACTATCCCCCCTCCCCTCCCCTCCCATCTTCTCTCTCTACCCCATCTACTGTAATTCATTTCTCTCCCTTGATTTTTTTCCCTTTCCCCTCACATCCTTTTATATGTAATTTTGTATAACAATGAGGGTCACCTTCCATTTCCATGCAATTTCCCTTCTCTCTCCCTTTCCCTCCCACCTCTTGTCCCTGTTTAATGTTAATCTTTTTCTCATGCTCTTCCTCCCTGCTCTGTTTTTAGTAGCTCTCCTTATATCAAAGAAGACATTTGGCATTTGTTTTTTAGAGATTGGCTAGCTTCACTTAGCATAATCTGCTCTAATGCCATCCATTTCCCTGCAAATTCCATGATTTTGTCATTTTTTAGTGCAGAGTAATACTCCATTGTGTATAAATGCCACATTTTTTTTATCCATTCATCTATTGAAGGGCATCTAGGTTGGTTCCACAGTCTTGCTATTGTGAATTGTGCTGCTATGAACATCGATGTGGCAGTATCCCTGTAGTACGCTCTTTTAAGGTCTTCAGGGAATAGTCTGAGAAGGGCAATAGCTGGGTCAAATGGTGGTTCCATTCCCAACTTTCCCAGAAATCTCCATACTGCTTTCCAAATTGGCTGCACCAATTTGCAGTCCCACCAGCAATGTACAAGTGTACCCTTTTCCCCACATCCTCGCCAGCATTTGTTGTTGTTTGACTTCATAATGGTCTATGCCATTTTTTAAACTCAGTTATCACTCAATTCTCACTTTCTAGGATTCCATGGAGCCACATTGTACTTGTTAGATGTATCGTTTTTAGTATCACATAGAAGGAAGTTGGACTCTGTGCTATGCTACTCTAGTATGTGGACATGTTTTTAAACATGCCCTAGTCCTACTTGTGTATGCTTTGAGTAGCGCAGCTGAAATTCACAGTGCAAACACCACCAACATAATTACCTCCTCTCTGTATTATTAGACTGATTAATCTAAACAGAATGTATGTGTTAATAATGCCACCCCACATTATGTTGTTTCATAATCTGACTAATAAACAGAGGCAGCCGGACCTCTAATTTAACATCTACAAAGCATGATGCCTGCATTTTGCAAAGCAACACAGTCTGCTTTGTTTGCCCAGATGTGTGAGCACTCGATCCCTCCTAACGGGGCTATTCAGACTCCAACCATTAAAAGTCAGTAACTTTACATAATCACATGCCGCTTTTCCTTAATAGCTGAAAACTTAATTACGAGGCTGTTTGCCAAACTAGATTAATCTTTCCTTTAAATCAGAGCTACTAACTCTTCATTTCTCCCTCAAAAGAAGTACATTTTCAACAAATATCATTTATTCTCCAAGGAACAAAAGAATCTACCCACTACATGCTCTAGGCTGCTACCCTATTGTGGTATAGCAGCCACAAACCACATTACCATTGTGTTACCTACCTCATCAAAGCCATCGTTAAATCCAACCCGTTGAGAAAATGCTTCTGAGATTTCTTGGGCAATGTCCTGTTGCTCTGTGATGTCTTGCATCAAGTCATCTATTTTGTTCAGATCCCTGGCAAATAATAATTTGTTGAAATATTTTAGGATTTTACCTTAAAATTATAAATGTAGGCATAATCCCATATGAAAAAATTAGTGAATTTATTTTTTATTTGAGATAGAGTCTTGATGTGTTGCCCAGATGGATCTCAAACTCCTGAGCTGAAGTGATCCTCCTGCCTCAGCCTCCCAAGTAATTGGGATTATAGGTATATACCACCAAACCCCACCACAATGAGTCAATTTAATATAAACTTTGTGTGTGTGTGATGCTAGGGATCAAATCTGGGGCCTTGTGCAGGCAAGGCAAATACTCTACCAACTGAGCTATATCCCCAGCCCATAATATAAACTCTTAATTATTTCAGTAGCATAACAAAAATTCCCCACTGATATAAAGTTGATAAATATCAACTTAAAAATAATTTGCACTTCAAAAAACTTAACAATCCTTTATATGCACCTATATTTTAAATATTAAGTAAATATCCATTACCTTTAGGAGTTACTATAAATCAAATTATTTTATAACAGAATTTATGGGGCCATTTTGAAATTTTGTATAAAAGGGCATTTGTAAAAATTTAGATATATACTACCATATATTACTTCTATAGGAGATATACCACGAACCACCAGGGACCACCAAGATGGAGATATGTATGGCAGCTCTCAATAGCCACTTTCTGAAAGCAGCATTTGTAGAAGCTGAACTCTGGGACTAGAGATCTAATTTCTATAATACCTCAGATCCTGATGCCCTGAGGGTTTTCCCACAGTGTGATGCCCCAGGAGATTATTAAAGGGAAAAGGATTTGGCCTATGGGTACCCCAGAAGAATCAGCAACTACAGCAAAGGAATCCAGGTGTCTCCAAATCATTCCTTCAGCTCCAAAACGAGGCCAAGCTGATTGGATACAAGGATACAAGGTTACTTCATTATTAAGTAACCTAAACACTGAAAGTTTGTGTCCCAGAAGAATTAGTCTTTTTGAGTTTCTCAGATTCTCTCCATATGCTATGACCACAGAGTACTCTGACATATTTTCACGCAGTAATCAAAAAGAATACTTTTATCACTCTCCTACACCCTTTATCTCCAATCCTTACTATTATATCTATAATGAATATATTTATTAAAAGGAGAATGAGAAATGTGTTGCTAAAGTTTGGGGCTGGGTGTGAATTTTTCTCAAAAGGAACACAATGGTGTGATGCTGTTGAACTATCTGGGGAGAGACTAATTTGTACATTTCAGCACCCAGCTTCCAGCAACCATAGAGACTTTAGAGTCTGATAACGAATCTAATGACCTCTCTAAAGCTGCCAAAATGGCGGCTGATTGTTAATGAACTACAAAGGCAAGAAAATGTTCGCAAGGCTGTCTTCGCTGCCCCAGCCTCTGCCTTTTCCACTCTTCCTATCCTGTGCAAATCTGTCTACATCCCTCAGGCATTCATTGCTCTTATGCATCTTTGACCAAGATTCCACTGTCATGACTAACACCAGGAAAGGATCAGGTCACTGGCATTTACTTCCCAATGTGGGTGTGAACCAAACTGCCACCAGCCCCACTACCACGATGAATGATTATTGAGTGCTTACTCCGAAAACTGTGTTGAGTGCATTTCATCTAGCATCTCATTGAAATTTCCAATTTACAGATAAGGAAACTGAATCAGAGAGAGAGAGAAAGCAATCTGCCCAAGGGATTGTCCCTGGGCAGCTGGGATGATAAGCCAGCAAATTTGAGCCCCAAAGTATAAAATTTCATTCCCACAACTATTACTCTCTCTATATTCTATATCTATTCTACAAAGTTCTCAAACCTTGGGTGGTATCAGAATCACTTGGGAAGTTGGTTAAAAACAAACAAACAAATAAAAAATCCTATCCTACTCCCAGGAACCTGGAATCTGTTCCCTTTAACAGCTCAGATTCCCACCCAAGTTGGACAACCACTATTCCTCGGCACAGATGTTGACATTGAAGGGTCTTTTTTTAAATTATAGAATTAAGGTATGTACAGAGATGGAATTTCAAGCAATCATAGAGAACTAAGAAACATGAAGGATAAAAATGTACACCCTTCTTTTTTTCATGGCTGGTTGGTTTGTCCTCGTCTTTTTTGTCATGGCAACCTCTGATTTACCTCTGAGAAAGCATTCCATTCAGTATGCCAAAGAGCCTCAAATGAGTAAAGAGATTCCTGCTAAAATCATCATGTAATTTCAAGGGCTTTTCCCAACACTGAGGGCATTTATGATTCAGAGGGAGAACAAAGTCACGCACATGTTTTCATGAACAGCTTTCATTGCCTTTGCTGCAAAGCCCATGTTCCTCAACACCTCTGTGTTGGTGTGGGAGTTTTCCAAAGCTTCTCTCTGGAACTCAATGGTGGAAAGGGTGCCGTCGATCTGAGTGAGCTGCTTTTCCAACCTCTTCTTTCTCTTTAGCGCCTGCAATGCAGCTAAACAAGGGAGAGACCACATTCATAAGGGAAGAGACACTACTCAAGGCATTTACACACACCACCCACAGACTCAGAACTGCTGATACCTAAGACAAAGCGCACACCAAACACTCCTGAGACACTAAAGGGTGACATCTCTCAAACACTGTGTTATGCTTTCTTCCAAAGATCTGGAAGGTACAACAGAGGACACAAAGTCAATTATAATATTCCATGAAATATAACACAGAAACATTTTTTTAAAAGATAAAAATATGAGTAAAACTATGCAAAACAAAAAAAGTCTTTAGAGGACCAAAGGACCTGAATGGTTGTCAACTCTAGTCCTCTTCCTTAAAGGTGAGTTTATGGAGACACATTTAATTGACTTGCTTAAAGTGAGACCACTAATGGGTGGCAGCTGGAACCAGATCCTGGAGTGTGGACCTACATGTCTTGATTTGAAATGATTAAGAAATGGTCATTAAGGTTACATCTAACCAAGAGTCCGTAAAATCAGTGCAGTTAGAGTCATCCTCAAGGAGTACATGGCATATGGGTGTCATAAAAGAACATTGCCTTCAGAGAAACAATATCCAAATAACCTTCTTATTCACCCCTTAGCAAGATAATCTTACCTATATCAATTTGAAACCACAAAACTAAGAGTCCTTTGACTTTAGCATTTTGAAAGGCAACATTATCAGGCCCTAAAATGTTCATTTTTTATATTTATTTTTTAGTTGTAATTGGACACAATATCTTTATTTCACTTATTTATTTTTATGTGGTGCTGAGGATTGAACCCAGGGTCTCATGCCTGCAAGGAGAGCGCTCTACTGCTGAGCCCCCTAAAATGTTCATTTTTGATAAAGCATTTGGGGGAAGTGCAAGAAAAGAATAGCAGAAGAATGTTAGCATAAAGAGAAGTGATAATTAAATGGATTTGACAAAAGAACTCAAATAGTTTGTGGATTTGGACAGAAGCAGATGAGTTATTACAACATACTTCTGGGAGAAAACTCCTTCTGTTCGCAGGAATTGCTTTTTGTAACTCCAACAAATTTACTTATTCCAGTGTTTTTTCACTGGTTCACAGACTCATAGGCATTGTATTTTCTTAATAGATTTTATTAGTCATCTGTGAAGCTCTTTTCCTCCCTGTCTGGCTACCTGAGGATCAGCCACCATCATGAATGACACATTCATATCCAGACCAGGAAGTCCATGACCAACTGACCACTTCAGAGGGAACAAATGGTTACTGATTTCCTTCACCTTGAGAAGACAACAGTACATAAAACAGATTCTCAGGAAAATCTAGTCAAAATGTACAAGACCACCCCAGACATCATCTTTGTTTTTGGATTTAGAACCCATTTTGGTGATGGCTTTGGCATGACTTATAATTCTTTGGGTTATGCAAAGAAAAGTGAATACAAATATAGCCTTGCAAGACATGACATACACAGAAGAAAAAGACCTCAAGAAAACAGTGAAAGGAACAGAAGAATAGAACAAAGGGAGTCAGGGGAACTGCAAAGGCCAGTGTTAGTGCCAGCAAAATGCAGAGTAAAGACTCTGCCATGACTATCTGTGGCAATTGTGCCAGTTTTTCACAAGAGGGTTAATAAACTGCAAAGACTTTAAAAAATCAGCACAAAATATCATCCTATATCCCACTTATATTTTTTTTCCTTAAATTCCATCTTGTCTTATATTCATATTTTGGCCTTCTTTTGGTTACAGTTTGCTTTTAATAAACTTTTTCATGGACCTCTATTTCAAATTTTTATTTGCCCCTTTTTAGAATGCCTATTAAAAATAGCATATACTCGAATGTTGTTATGGTTTAGGTATGAGGTATCCCTCAAAAGCTCTCGTGTGAGACAACACAAGAAACATAGAGGTGAAATGATCAGATTACGAGAGAGGTTTAACCTAATCAGTGCATTAATCCCTTGATGGGGATTAACTAGGTAGTAACTGTAAGCATGTAGGGTGTGGTTGGAGGAGGAGGGTCACTGGGGGCATGACTTTGGGGTTTATATTTTGTCCATGGTGAGGGGAGTTCTCTCACTCTCTCTGCTTCCTGGTGGCCATGTCCTGCATCACACCCGTCCACCTTGATGTTCTGCCCACCTCAGGCACAGAGCAATGGAATTGGTGGTACTTGAACTAAGACCTCTGAAATTGTGAATCCCAAATGAACTTCTCCTCTTCTAAAATTTTTATTGTTGGGTCTTCTGGTCTTCTTTTTTTCAGGGGCATGGTACTGGGGAGTGAACCCAGGAGTACCTAACCTCTGAGTTACATCCCCAGCCCTTTCTATATTTTATTTTGAAACAAGATTTTGCTAAGTTGCTTAGGGCCTCAATAAGTTGCTGAGGCTGTCTTTAAATGTGATTCTCTTGTCAGCCTCAGGAGCCACTAGGATTACAGACATGTTCCACTGCATGTGGCCATAGCCTCATTTATTACAATAATTGATTTTACAAAATATGATCTTTTTACTGTCAACTTCTGTGTCTTCTGATTGTTGTACATTTTGTCCTCATTGCTTTCTTTTCTTTATGTAGATTAGTCAAGTATTTTTGTTCATTTTTTCACTATAATTTGTGCATATACTAAATTTATTCTCCTAACAAATACACTTGTATTTAAAATATATACATATAATTAAATAAGTTTTGTAACCCTATTGAAAATTGATCAGTCTATAATTTACTGTTCCCAAACAAGATTCCCTTCCCACCCCAGACTCCACAATGTCTAAATAATCTGCAATTTTTTTTGACTTCGAGATGACTAACAAATTTCTTGCTATTCTTTCAATTTTTTAAGGGACTTTTTCTCAATAATAAGCATCATATGCATAATTTCACTAGTTATTTACACTAATCTGTATGTTTAGTGGCTTATTTTCTTACTATTGCTCCTTATATTCTACATTGTTCTCTTTGATGGCTTTTTAAATTTTACTGAAGTGAATCTTTTTTCAGCAAAGTATTTTTAGCATATAGATAAAATACTGTAGATATACTTATATAAATGTGCATAGATGTAAACTCTGAATACCTATAGGTCTGAAAAATCTGTATTTTGTTTCAAACTTGCATGATAATTTAGACTTTTCCAGAATTCTAGATGCCAAATATTTTAAAATTTTAAGACTCTATTCTGTTGTTTTGCAGTAGTCAACATCTCAAAAGTTTGATTAAAAAATTCTAATTTATTTGTAAATGCTTTGCCTTTTTGTTTATCCTCTGAAAGTATTTGAGATTCTATTTTTTATATTAAAGTCATGAAATTTCCCTAGGATAATTCTAGGCATGTGCCTTTTATCTTTTGTTTTTTCCAACTAAGCATTTTTATTGTGAAGAATTAGAATAAAAATTTCCTTTAGCTTGAGGAAAAAGTGTTCCATTTTTCTTTTGTTTCTTCTCTGTTCTCCAATATTTCTGTCACTCTCCTCTGAAATCCCCACTTATTTTTAAATTATCTCTACCATCACCTGTTCCCACATAAATATTCTGTTTTCTCTCTTTTGAAACCTCTGTGAGATGGATACCAGCTTCTTTGGCTCTATCCCCTAACTTATTAGTTTGTCTCTCCATCTTTTTGATCAATATTCAGGGAGAATTTCTTGATTTTATTTTCCTGATTACTAGTTTCATCTTCACCTATATTCATTTTACCTTTTTCTTGCCCTTTAATTGGTTTTTAAATTATGTTTTTAATTTCTAACTTCTTGTTTTCTACCTGCAGATTTCTATGGCAGCATTCTCTGGTCTCACAGATGCAATAGCCTCTTGAACCCTGAAGATTCAATACAAGATGTTTATTACCACCTTTCATTTCTGAAACTCTCTCTCTTCTCTTGGGTTCTATTGTCTGCTTTGCTTATCTTGATGCTTTTGCATAACTGCCCTTCCTCAAAATGCTTCTGATTGTCTCTTGTGAAATATTTCTCCCTCCTGGCAGTGGTGACTTTTCTTCCTACCCTCCCTACCCACTGTGGGGTCTGAGGTTACCTCAGGCTCTGCTGTTTTCCTCTTCGGGTGTGGCACCACAATTAAGCTTTTATTGAACAGCATTACACTTTAATTATAGAACAGCTCTTATTTGCTTATCCTGTCCTGTAGGAAAGAACTAAAACAATTTCTTCTTAAGTCAATTGGCTCAAAGACCTTCTTACAAGATCACACTTAAGAGAGCCTTACCACATTAATGACCAATCTGTGGGAGGGTTTTCTCCAATGCACAGGGAGAATGGCCAGCTGACCCCCTGGGCTATCCCTCTGTCTGTGGATCCACAGCTACTGCTGTATTTATCACACTGTATTGTAATTATTTGTAAAATCTGTTCTGTTCCATCTCTCCTGTGCCTAATTATAAACATTTTGATGAAAGAGCATCTTACGTCTCTGTTTCTCCAGCAACTTGTCCAATTCCTACGACTGGGTCAATAAAATACATAACAAAAAGTAACATTTACTGATAATTTTCTATATGCCAAACTGGTGCTAAGTGCTTTGTGTGCATGATACGATTTATGCCACTTAACACACACACACAAAGAGTACATACTACAATAAGCCATTTTAAAGATGATGGAATAAACTAATATTAAATGAATAAATTTCATGATTTTGTGCCCACAGTACAATAACAACACAGTCCAGTGAAAAGAGTATGGAGTGTGGACCTTCTTCCCCAATTTAACAGATGTGTCACTTCGCTTCTTTGAGCTTCAGTTTGTTGTTCTGGGAATGGGGATTAAATCAGGCCTAGGAATTATAAGAACTGGGATCATTTATATAGCCCCTGTGAATGACAGGGGCATAGCCACTAAATATTACTATCAATGTCAGTGATTTATATAACATTCTTAATAAGATTGTCTATCCCAATTCTGATAACCCTTCAAAACAAATTACTTAGTTTTTTTTCGGTATAACTCACCATAATAGGAACACAATATTACAAAACAGCTGTGCATTTCAATAGGTACAGCA